CCGCGCCCCGCCTGTCATAGTTTTAAGGCATATGAGGGGTAAGGATCTAACACAGGAGCTTAGAAGTTTTGTGCCATCGAACTCCTTAGTCCAGGTCCTCAAACTTTTTAAAATAGGGGCCCAGTTTCATTGTCCCGCGACCACCTGGAGGCCAGGGACTATAGTTTAAAAAAAACTATAACAAATTCCTGTGCACAGCTGAACCTATTTTGAAGTAAAAAAACCACAACGAAGCTGGGCTGCGGTGCTCACCCGCTGCAATCGCTACGCACCTGGGAGGCTGAGGTGGGAGGATTGCTTAGGCTCAGAGTTGAAACCAGCCTAAGCAAGAGCGAGACCCCGTCGTCTACTAAAGAATAGAAGAATTAATGGCCAACTAAAAAATCATATATATATAGAAAAATTAGCCGGGCATGGTGGCGTATGCCTGTAGTCCCAGCTACTCGGGAGGCTGAGGCAGGAGGATTGCTTGAGCCCAGGAGTTTGAGGTTGCTGTGAGCTAGGCTGACACTACAGCACTCTAGCCAGGGCAAGAGTAGGACTCTGTCTCAAAAAAAACCAAAAAACAAAAATCGGGCAGAAACACCTGCATGTGGCCCGCGGGCAGTAGTTTGAGGATGTCTGCCTTAGACTATCTGGTAAAATCTATAGATCCCTTCTCAGAAAACTGTTTTTAAGTGGATAAAATAAAATACACCACAAAACATCCACTAGAGTAGATAAAGTTTAAAAGACTTGAGTGCAGTGGTTCATGCCTGTAATTCTAATACTTTGGAGGCAAGATGGGAGGATCACTTGAGGCCAGGGGTTCAAGCCCAACTGAGCAACATAGCAAGACCCCCATCTCTACAAAAATAGAAAAATTTGCTGAGCATGCAGTCCTAGTTACTTGGGAGGCTGAGGTAGGCCCAGGAGTGGGAGGTTGCAGTGAACTATAATGACATCACTGCACTCTAGCCCAGGCACGGTGTGAGACCCATCTCTGAAACAATAAATAAATTAAATTAATAATTAAGTAGAATGTGCAACCTTATTTAATTTGTGATTATTTAGTTGAAATCTCACTAAGCTTTTATACTATTAGACTACTAAAGAGAAATACAAGTTTAATAGCTTTTTTGTAGAGACAGGGTCTTGCTTTGTTGCCCAGGCCTCAGAATACAGAGCCTCATCATAGCTCACTGCAATCTCAAACTCCTGGGCTCTAGTGGTCTCCTGCCTCAGCCTCCTGATAGCTGGGACTACACGCGTGCACTGCTGCACTGATTAATTTTTCTATTTTTTGTAGAGATGGGGTCTCACTCTTGCTCAGCCTGGTCTCAAACTCCTGGCCTCAAGCAATCCTCCCACCTGATCCTCCCAGTGTTCATAAGTTTAATTTTTTAAATTGTATTAGCTATTCAAAGAACTTTAGAAAAGTTTTATTTCATTAAGTTTGAGGTAGTTAAAAAGAAATCAAGTATATTATAATATATATTTGAAATATCTAAGAAAATAGAAATTGTAAAAGCCCCTTTAAAAGTAATGTCTAAAATGTGTTAAATTAGTAAATAGAAGAAGATTTGAGACTTGAACTTAAATGGCTAAGAACTAGGTTTTTGAATTTAATTAATTGCATATTAATTTTACAGTCAAAGAAAATCCCGACAGTTGAACAAGAACTCTGATTTAACCAAGTCAAAACTGAATACCATTCCTGAGGGCCAACTGCCCAGAAACTCCTGTTGGTAACTCAGGGGAGAGACCCCTCACACGGGGCAGGTTGCAGAGTCACCTGAGAAGCTTGTTTAAAATACAGATGTCACCTCCACTCCAAACTGAATCAAGCTTCTAGGTGCACCCTGGAGCGGTGGGCTTCTACCGCCTCCTGCACCAAGGTGAAGAGACTCCGCTGCACTGAAGTGTGGTCAATATTAATTTCATTCATCACCATGCTTTTCGTGAGGAACTTAAAGTGCTTCATATATCATATCTGCTAGTATCTGAATATAGTTGTCCTTGTATCCATGGGGATTGCTTCTGGACCCCTCCCCACCTTCCCAATCCCACCCCCAACACCAAAATTCACGATGCTCAAGTCCCCTATATAAAATGGTGTAGTATTTGCATATAACCTATACATATCCTCCTGTACACTTTAAATCATTTCTAGATTATTTATAATGCCTAATACAATACCTACACACCATTCCACTTTTCCAGATTCAACATAGTACTTGGCCTGTGGCAAATTCAACTTTTGCTTTTTGCATATTTGTGAATTTTTTCCTGAATATTTTGATCCATGGTTGGTTGAATCCATGGATATGGAACCCACGGGTACAGAAGGCTGACTGTATATGTAATAATAACTCCAGGCATAGTGGACTTACAGATGTCTCCATGGTAACGATTCACTCTGGTCTCCATGATGCGCTTCATAACGACCCTCAATTTACTTCATTTAAAATTCTAAATACTTTGCTATTGATAGACACACATAGAGAGTTATATTTTTAAAATAACTCTCTGGTACTATTTCAGTAAAGTACTAGAAAGGGAAAAAGGAAATAGGAAGAAAAGTAATAGTAATAAATCAGTACTTCTCATGAAAGCTCATTTTATGGGCATGAATTAGAATATCAAAGCCAAATGATGGAAAACCGAATTAAACAGCCTGCATAATTTATTTATCTGACACTGGTTTGTCAGAATTCATTTTTGTATTATTAATACAGAAAATGAATCATTGTTTCAACTAGGCATCACTTTTATGAATTAAAAATGTATAAATCTTCTGAATATCCTTTTTCAGGAATCATTTCTCTTTGTACAATGTGCAGCTCACTCAGATGTCTGATCATGGCAGAACCAATTGACAAAATGTTGCTGAATCAAACTGCCATTCCCTCATAGGGAGGGCACCTTCCAATTAAACACAGGATTTAAAAAGAAGATTGTCGAAAAAGAAGAGTTGTAACACTAATTTCCCTTCAAAAATGTCACAAAGTAAGTGTACCACTCAGCTACCACCCAATAGGAGGTTGTACCACCCCCCTGAGCCTGGCGTGAGCCGTGTGAAGCTTGGGTGGAATGCAGGCTTCACCCAGATCTGTCGACTTTGTTATATTTTACCACATTTATCTTGCTGAATTTTGAACAAAGGACTTTCATTCTTCTTATTATCACGGGATTTTAGTCTTGTTCACACATAAGTGACATTGACCTCTGTAAGTGTTTTTTAAATTCCTTTTCTTAAATAGCGCCCCAAAATTGTGTCAGCCCCAGGCCTGTGGCCTGGATTCTCCCTGCAAGTCTCACCCACCACAGAAGTCTTCGCTGCCCTTGGCTGAGAACTGAGGTGGCTACGGCCAGGGAGGAAGGTGAGAAATGGGGCCCTGCGGCCGGCACAGAGCTCCAAAAGTATGGACACAGCCTGAATATTCCCACAGGACCCTAGCACAATATTTATGTGTAGTTGAAAGAGTATAATTATACTACTCCTGGGGTACTTTGTGGGTTAAATGAGCTTTTGTGGCAGACCAGGAAGACCAAAGACCAAATAGAATATTGTTTCTATGCAAAATATGTTCCAAATACCAATGGTCAACCTAAAAGAAATTGTCTAGGCACCACTGATGGAAGTGCTTTTAATCAGCTCTGCCAGTACAGATCCTGCCCATTCTTCAAGGCCAGACTAAATATCTGTTTTAGGAGGCCTTCCTGGATCAGCTCTGAGCTGTGTTCTACCTCTGGGTCCTTAAGTCCCAGCACACTTCTCTCTACCATTCTTGGGGCACTTACTGCCTTCCACAATGAATTATAGCTCTTTGTGTACATGACTTGCTTGTCTACTTTACTGTAAGTACAGGAGCAGGCTGCTTTCTTCCTCGTCCTCAAATTCTCCTAGCACCTAAACACAGGAGTCCATAAATCCTGACTGGTTGAATGAATGAAGGACTTGGTGATTGAATGAATGAAATCTGTTGGGGGGGTCCATCTCTTTTCTGAACTCATAAGGGAGGCACCTTCCAATTAAACACAGGATTTAAAAAGAAAGTTCGAAAAAGAAGATTGTAACACTAATTTCCCTTCAAAAATGTCACAAAGTAAGTGTACCACTCAGCTACCACCCAATTAGGAGGTTGTACCACCCACCTGAGCCTGGCGTGAGCGTGTGAAAGCAGCTTGGGTGGAATGCAGGCTTCACCCACCGACTCTGTGTTACTTTGTTATATTTTACACATCTTATCTTGCTTGAATTTTTGAACAAAGGACTTTCATTCTTCTATTATCACGGGATTTAGTCTTGTCACACATAAGTGACATTGACCTTCTTTTTAAAAACAACCATTCTTCTGAAAGAATTATAGTTGTTACCACTGGGGATTTGAGAAGAAAAGAGGAAGGTTCTGTTTGGCCCCTCAAAGACCCACTTCTGATCTGGTCTCTGACACTCCTACACGTCTTTTAAAGTCCCTTAGCATCCTGAGACCTCTCATTTTCTTCATCTATAAGAGAAGCTGCAAAAAAAAAAAAAAATAGGGGACGTCTAAGTTCCCTTCAGCTGTAGAACTCTATCCTCTGCTGTGCATCTCTGCGCCTGGCACGTGCCAGGTCATGTTTGTGTGACACAGGTCACATCTCTGGGACACGTGGTCTCGTGTGGCACAGCTGCCTGGGGGTGCTGGGCCCCACAGCAATGAAAGATAAGTGTATGCCAGTGAGTCTGTTGTCCAAGAGGCAGCACCACAAGGGTCACGAGCTCACCCCAGACCAGCGAGAGCTCTCCTTGGGGAGCTGGAAGCTGCAGTCCATGGAAAAAGCCACGTCGGAAACGTGGTGCTGGGAGTGTGAGCATTCCGGACGCCACTTTGCTTAGACAAATTTCATTCAGCAGTCTCCTGCTCACCTGTGTGGTTTTTATTAAACCAGCCTCTCCATTCCTGGGATATCTTTAGCCTGGATCTCCACAAAGGTGACATTCAGTCTCTACTACTGTGTGTGGGGACAGGATAATGTCCCCAAAATGTCCACATCCTAATCCCTGGACCTGTGTGGCTGTTGCATGGCAAAGGGGAATTAAGGTCAAACTGGAATTAGGGTTGCTAATCAGCTGACCCTAAAATAGGAGATTATCCCAGACTATCCAGATGGGACCCGACAGAATCACAAAGAGTATTTTAAAGTGGAGCAGAGGCAAAGGAGGAAGGTCAAGTTCAAGAACTTGAAACGCTCCACTGCTGGTTTTGAAGACGGAAGAAGAAACCACGAGCCAACAAATGCAGGTGGCCTACAGAAAGAGAAGGAAATAAATTTTCCCCTAGACTTCTGGAAGGAACCACCTCTGCCAAAACCTGGGTTTATCTCAGTGAGACGCATTCTGAGACTCAGGACTATAAAACAATAAGTTTGTGTTTTAAGCTGCAAAACATATAGCCTGCTGCAATGTACAGCAGCAATAGGAAGGAAGCTACTAGATGGCATTATTCTAATGTTTCAGAGATTTACTATAATTCTCATTAAGATGATGAATTTAAAGCATAAATAGTAAGATAAAAATTCCAGAATAAACTAACAAGAAATGAAATTCACATTATTCGTTTGGTTAAAAAAATACACTGTTCTTTCCTTCAATGTCACTATGAGCTGGAGCCCCAATTGATGATGAAGTTGGATAGGTACCCAAACAGAGAGGGGAAAATGGAAGACCAGGATAAATTGTATTGAACCTGGAGTTGTTCAATACCAGGTTCCAAATTCAAGAAGATGTCAAAAGACCAGAAACACCTGGATACTCGAGTCCTTGGCAAGGCTCCTAGCCAAGTAGTGTCAGAGGCCAGATAAGACTGAGTCGAGGAACAAGCACCTGCAGGAGTCCTGAAGTTTAAGGCAGGGCCAGAGCTAGGAAGAACATACACCAGGCATGGAGTCCGACAAGGAAGCCTTAAGTAAGGGACCTCTGCATCAGCCCGCATGCCACGCTGCCAGTCCCCAGCCCACAGACAGACTGAGTGAGAGGGATTAGGGAAATGCCAGTTAGGTTAGGCTTGCATGTGGGCAGGTGGGCCACAGCAAAGGACATATTTTGGCATGTGCTCGATATAGAATAAGTGATTTGTTTATCTGATCATTTAAAAAACTTTTACTATGAAAAATTTCAGACATACACCAAAGAGAAATGGCAAGTTTTATCTGTAGCCTCAACCACTTGTCGCGGAAGCAAATCCTTATCACTTCTATAAATACTTCCAGCACTGGTCCTCAAAGATAAGAAATCTAACTGAGCAATTTCTTTCTTTTTTTTTCTTGCCAACAGTCTTGCTCTGTCGCCCCAGCTAGAGTGCAGTGGCATCATCACAACTCACTGCAACACAAACTCCTGGCTCAAGTGACCCTGCTGCCTCACGCCATACAAATAGCTGGGATACACGGCGCTGCCACCCTCCCTGGTTAATTTTCTATTTTTAGTAGAGACGGGGTCTTGGCTCTTGCTGAACTGGTCTCAAACTCCTGAACTCAAGCCATCCTCCCACCTTGGCCTCCAGAGTGCTATGATTACAGGCATGAGCCTATCTGAACAATTTTAATAAAAATACCGTGCTAAATTGTTTCAGCTCTCCCGACTGACCTGCTCCTCTGGTCCCTGCTCTCCGGCAGTCTGATTTACCTTTCCCCTTTGGAAACCCACAGCTGGCAACAGCTGGAAATCCATGCACCATCTGACAGTCAAACTCATACCAACAGTGATTACCATTTGCTTTGATTTGGTTGCTCATGAAAGACGTACACATATTCCACCCATCCTGTCAGAATGCTGGCGCCTGGCCAGCACTGACAGCATGTTTGGAGTCCCTTCTGCATTTCGGAGGAGGGATAAATGAGCGAAAGTTATGGGCAGCAAAGTGGTTTGCTAAAGCCATTTTCCATAGGTAGAAAGTCCACTGTCTTGTCCCTCTGATTATTAAACACTCACAGTGAGCCAGGGACTGCAGTGGGGATTCTAAACATGTAGTTTTATTGAACACCCTCTGAAGTTGGCATCATTATCCCCATTTTACAAATGAGAACCTCAGGCTCAAAAGGTGAGTCACTTGTCCAAGGTCAACGCTGGGAAACCTGGAATACCAGGCGAGGTCTGTCTGGCTCCTCAGCCTGCGCTGTATGGCTATGATGGACGCCGCTGCTCCGTGCTCGCCCGCCTGGCTTTCCCCGGACCCCAGGGACAACAAAGGAGTCGGCTGCTGGAACTCCAGTCCTTTTCTGTCTAATACAAACACCTGGGAGT